ATACATACTGTGCAATAGTTTTCATCACAATCGTATTACACAAAAATGAAATTATACTGTTACAACTTTATCTCGTATTTGCTAAGGTTATATTACATTTATGCAAAAAGAGTTTGTCGAACGTACGATTGGCTGTTTGATATAGAATTTTTTAAGTCCCTATCTGATTGCAGAAATTCCCTATTCGACAGCCAATCGCTACGCCCAGCAAACTCTATCGTATGAATGTAAACCAGCCTAATTATACACATGCGCAGTTTACGAAAGGGTATGTAAAAAGCCGGTTCCGAATTTCAGGCTAAGCACAAATACAGACAAATGAGCACGATCAATCTCAGAAAGAAAGAAAAAAAGAAAAAAAAAAGAAGAAGAAAAAGATCGATCTATTTTGATTTCAATCTTATCGAATATGAATATAAAAAGCAATTTCTAAAATACATTTTTTATTTTTATTATATCACATTAAATAAATTGATCAAAATAGAAAATATTCACAATACACTTGTTTTTTTTAACAGAGAATTTTTGTCTTATGCGAATTATGTCTTTAAATTTGATTGCTATATTACGAGTATACAGGGGAATATTTATTACAGCATTTTGACGATCCAAAATAATAACTGTAATTAGTTGATTTGTTAATAAATTTATAAATCGTACATAGAGTATGCTAATGTTGAATGAGAATAAAATGTATAGTGTGAGAAATACAATATACATCAATATATGATATATATCAATTTAAGATTGCGCAATAGCTAACAGTGCTGCTTGATGAATTAAATGTGTAGTATGATTCACAAGGCCCATCAGTTTCGATAACGATGCAGCCCATGTATCTAAGAGAGCAGCTGGTTCTTGCGTACTAGTAAAACGAACTACACCAGCTGGACGATCCGTACGTGCGCTGATTACTCCAGTTTCTACTAAATTGCAAAGACATGCTTCTGTTTCTTCTGTTGGTAGATCAAGTAACTCAGCCATGCGAGTTAATGTAATCTTGGTATAATATTTGGCCATGATTCTGATATTCTAAAAAAAGAAAAAGTCGAATTGTTAGAAGTAAAATATTGTTTAAGTTTCCTTCTCTGAAATAGTTGAAATAACTTTGTTTTTCAATAGTATGTATCAGAAGCCTTAAGTATATTTCTCTAATACCATATAGAGACTTACATGTTCTACAACACGATTCCGCAAGTCTGCCCATCGTTTGCGTCCTTCCTCAGTTAAGGAAGAAAAGACCTCGGTTGATCTGAGATCCTTTTCATAAATTTCGCATAACCCCGACCATTTTATCAATTCAGGATTTACAAATAAACGCAATAATTCTCTGTAGATGATTTACATTGCTTTTAGAATTAAAAATAGATATTTGAAATATTTTGATGTAAGTCATTATAATCATTACTTGTATGTGGGTATTTCGTCGAGAAGTTTGTCGGCGAGCAATCTATAAGTCAAATCAGCCTAAAGAAAAAAAGAAAAAAAAAAGAAGAAAAAGATCGATCTATTTTGATTTCAATCTTATCGAATATGAATATAAAAAGCAATTTCTAAAATACATTTTTTATTTTTATTATATCACATTAAATAAATTGATCAAAATAGAAAATATTCACAATACACTTGTTTTTTTTAACAGAGAATTTTTGTCTTATGCGAATTATGTCTTTAAATTTGATTGCTATATTACGAGTATACAGGGGAATATTTATTACAGCATTTTGACGATCCAAAATAATAACTGTAATTAGTTGATTTGTTAATAAATTTATAAATCGTACATAGAGTATGCTAATGTTGAATGAGAATAAAATGTATAGTGTGAGAAATACAATATACATCAATATATGATATATATCAATTTAAGATTGCGCAATAGCTAACATTTCTTCTTGATGAATTAAATGTGTAGTATGATTCACAAGGCCCATCAGTTTCGATAACGATGCAGCCCATGTATCTAAGAGAGCAGCTGGTTCTTGCGTACTAGTAAAACGAACTACACCAGCTGGACGATCCGTACGTGCGCTGATTACTCCAGTTTCTACTAAATTGCAAAGACATGCTTCTGTTTCTTCTGTTGGTAGATCAAGTAACTCAGCCATGCGAGTTAATGTAATCTTGGTATAATATTTGGCCATGATTCTGATATTCTAAAAAAAGAAAAAGTCGAATTGTTAGAAGTAAAATATTGTTTAAGTTTCCTTCTCTGAAATAGTTGAAATAACTTTGTTTTTCAATAGTATGTATCAGAAGCCTTAAGTATATTTCTCTAATACCATATAGAGACTTACATGTTCTACAACACGATTCCGCAAGTCTGCCCATCGTTTGCGTCCTTCCTCAGTTAAGGAAGAAAAGACCTCGGTTGATCTGAGATCCTTTTCATAAATTTCGCATAACCCCGACCATTTTATCAATTCAGGATTTACAAATAAACGCAATAATTCTCTGTAGATGATTTACATTGCTTTTAGAATTAAAAATAGATATTTGAAATATTTTGATGTAAGTCATTATAATCATTACTTGTATGTGGGTATTTCGTCGAGAAGTTTGTCGGCGAGCAATCTATAAGTCAAATCAGCCTGCTCAGGCTCGTGCGGAGCAAGTACAAGATAGAGAACCGCTCGAGAAAGTGCAGTGTGTCTTTTCTCTGAATCGTCTCGAATCGCTGGTGTTTCTAACACTGCTCGATTGTGCCGACACAATTCCAAATGCCAACCTTCGTGACGAGCCAGCTCCATCATCAAACTAAACATAAAATGCAACTTCACAAAATTGTTGTATAATAAATTTGGGTATGAAACACACGGCGCGCATACTCGTAATATTTTAATTTCAAAGCCTGGGTCTCCTCATCATTTTCGTCGGTGAAGAATTTAACATTAATTTTCTTCGCTATGATTTGCGTTCTCATAAAATCTTGTTTTGCCAGACAGAGTCTCATTTGTTCCAAAATAAGAGAAGCTTTCTCCCGACGCGACATACTGCCATACGTTTCCACCTATATGCAATATGCTGTTTAATGTTACATTTTCTAATTTACACTATTCAATTAATTTTTACCAAAGTATATTTCTATTAGAAAAGATTTGCTAATACAACATATTTCTCATATTACATTACTATATAGATAGCAGAAAGATTTAATAAAAATTGTTTTGTTAAATCTACAAGAGAATTATCTCACTATAATAAATTGTTTCATTACAATAGCAAAATATATTTACTAACAATAGACTTTCATTTTAGTTTACTTGGTAATATTATTCAATAAAACAAATTTTCCTGCAATATTAAATAATTGATTATAATAGCAAAGTTAGAGAGATTGCTTCTTTATTGAATATGCAATAACTTTACTAGCGAAATTCTTTTTCTCCATATTATAAGCAATATACCTGTAATTCAAGCATTACAGCTGCAGCATTTGTAATGTCTCCTTCTGCCTCTTTTATTTTGGCTAAACGGTGAGTGAGCCTTGCTCTTTCCACTTCTACATATATCTATTTTCCATTTAATATAAATTGTGTAAATATTATATAATTACATAGAATACATATAATGTATACATTAATTAGTAAGATTTAAATACTTTCAAATTGCTTGGTGAATTTTTTATTCTTGTAAAATGATCTTAAAATATACTAGTTGTTTTGACAATACAAATAAAATGCAAAAAGTTTGAATTAATATTTCAGAATTTAATCACAAAAATAGCTCCAATATATCTCAGCATTAATGCTTGCGTGAAAAACCACGAGCTTTTGTACTAGTTTAGCTTGAAAAGTTGAAAATATGTTTACCTTTCCTTCTGTGACTGAACGAAGAGTTTCAATAAGTTTTACCATAGTTTCTTTATTAGGCATTTTGTCTACATAAGTACAACACTCTTGTACCATCTTTGTAACAGCCTGTTTAAGTTGAGAGCGTCTCTTTGACAATAAGATTATGTGTTCATTAAGCGCTGACCAATTCTTTGCCTCTAAGCAAATTTCAACTATGGCTACAAGAAGTCTTGACGTCGACACCATATCAGCACCCTATATAAAACAGTTTAGATAAGATTCCTACATATACAAATATTTACTTACTTTACAATATCAATATACTTAACAGTTCTGGTAAGTTTCTCTAAAGCTAACAATTGATCTAAAGCGTCCTTCAGAAGCAAGCTTCTTGCATTCTGGTATTTTTGTATCGCAAGTACTGCTGTAATCCACCTCCATCTTCACAAGTTTGCCAGAGTTGTCCATTGCATTGTCTGCCATACTGTTTCTTGACAATATTTAATTTCACATATATAAGAAATAATAAACAAAATAAAGAACTATGAAAGGGATATATTAAATATCCGTTTTAAGAAGGTTAGAATATCAATCTTAATCATTTTGTATTGATTACAGATGACAAGAATAAGATGACAAAGATTTAAAGATTCAATAGATTTAATTGTAAAGCAATAACAGATTTAGCAAGAGAGAATTTAATATATACCTGTATTGTAAACGATTAACGATAGTGAGTTATATACGATAAGAGATTAAACGCCAGTTAGTTTATGCCAGTCTATTTTAAACAGAGCTTACTATAAATTATAATATTTCTAACACAAAGGAATTGTAACAAATATATTTTTTCCTTGCACAAGATATTATCAGGTATAAATCCAATGTGTTGAATTGAATGAAAAACACAATTTCGTTACCGATCTAAATCGATTGTCACAGTTTGTGTCACGGGTCGTTTTCACTCTCGCCTTGTCATCTCTTTTATTGCTCAAATATGGCGATTAATTTCGTCATATTTGGTCTGAGATTCGGCCAATCCGATGACAGTTCTTTATTCTACATTCCTTCTATTCGTTCTTAAATGCAATATTGTAATTTGTCTACGTCGATTAGCGCCGTCACGCGATTGAACCAATCAGCGACGTCGTTAGATCGACCACCAATCCGGTAAAAGCGTTCCTTCAAACGAAATTTTAGAATTAAATGACCGTTTGTCGTGAACGAGTGTACGAAACGGACGAGCGTGCGAAAATAATAAATATTGCGATTTTGTGTATTTTACACCAATTTCTTTTTTCACCGTTGATTGTTTAGTTTACGTGCGCGGCTACGTAAAACGCATTTATTCGTTTTCGAGACTAAAGGTATCTTAAAACCGATTTAATGAGGTATGTAAACCTGATTGTTCAAAACTAAAAAAATTAAACAAGATTAAATATAAAATCAAACTTAAGTGATGCGTAAGTTTCTGTAAAAATATACGATTGTACGATTATATATTTTGTGCGTATATATGTTAAAATAAAGATATGATTAATTCTTATTATGTATGATTAATATTTCTAATAAAGTCATGGCACTGATTTTGTTAAAATTTGTATACTTTGATTTGTGTGTATTTTAAAGCATGGAAATTATGTGTGTGTATGTTTGTGTGTATAAAAACTATTTAATAAACAAAATCAGTCATGATATTAGAATCAATGATATATGCGTGAGTAAAAATTTGAAATTTGGTCTATTCTTATTATTTTATTAAATCGTACACAGTGCATTATAACTTACATAGATTGCTTTCTTTTTAGAACTAACAAACTGTTAATTCTGAAAAATTTATAAAATTGATTTTTTACCAAGACTGTTTTATATATTTCGCAAAACAAAATATATGTTGAATAATTTTGTATAATTATATATATTTCTTTAAATTAATGCAGATGGAGAATACATTGGATTCAATCCGTCCATCGGAAAATCCAGAAGAAATGTCATACCTGTTTGGCAGAGATCCAAGTATTTTAGCATATAGTCAGAGGCCATTTCCATCAAAGGATACAAGAAAGAATTTACTTTCATTGTACGAAGTCGAACAAAGTAATTCTGCCAGTGAAAATGCATCTGAACATTCTGACTCGCAAACCTTACAAACCATTAAGGTATATCTTCGACTTAAACCAATTCCAAAAAAATTGAAATTAACTGAGGAACAACAAGAGGCATATAAGATCATAAACTCTACTACGTTAGTTACAAAATTGCCATTGTTGGATAATAATACAAGTTGTGTTAAGCAATCCAAAAGTAATGAGATTGTATGCAGAAAATTTACCTTTTCACAAACATTTGGGCCAGAAACCACTCAATTGGAATTATTTGAGCAAACGGTACAGCAGCAGATGGTTGATTTTTTAGCTGGACATAATTGTACTATAATGACATATGGTAAGAAATACTGCGTGTTATCTTGCCATATATATGAATGTTTAACTAATAATACGATTTGGTAGGCACCACAAATTCGGGAAAATCATATACATTGCAAGGAACCACTACTTCACCTGGATTAATACCACGTGCACTGGAATTTGTATTTAATAATATTACAACAAGACCAAACCCATCTTATAAACCTTTGCATTATTGCGATGTAGTGAATCTTGATGCACTTGAATGTGCACAGGAACTTGAAGCAAAAACTAAATTGCTAACATTTAGTTTGGATAAGCATCAATACATGAATGCTTACAAACAAATGCAAAAATTGTTGCAAGAAGAATCAGTTCGTCCTAGTCAATGCCATGATGCTCATTATTCGGTTTGGATTTCATTCGCAGAAATTTATAATGAAGTTGTATATGATTTATTGTCAAGTGAATGCCAGAAAAAGAGGATGCCTTTAAAATTGGGGACAGACTCTAATGGCAGAGCATTTATCAAAGGATTAAAAACTGTTTATGTTAATTCAGCAGCGGAAGCTTATCAGATTTTGATGGCAGGGCAATATAATTTGAAAATTGCTGCTACTGCATTAAATGCAAAAAGTTCAAGATCTCATTGTATATTCACAATTACATTGTTGAAATATTATGTGGAAAGTTTATCTGACACAGTTGAAGTGAGCACGTATGTATATTTTATTTATACATATTCTATACTTCTATTTCATGTATAAAATATTTTAAAAATATATTGTTGATCTTTACATCTGACAAAATTTAAGAAAAGGTAAACTCCGAAAAGAAAAATATTCTAAAATATTTTTATTGACCTATATAATTTTCTTTTGGTTGAAAAAGAAAAAAAAAAGAATTTTTTTTGTCATTTAAAATGATCATAAATATATATATGTATATACATATAGAATTAATGTTTTTTATACCATTAAAATGATAATTAATAATTTTTTACAGATTTACCTTTTGCGATTTGGCGGGCTCGGAACGTTTGAAGAAGACATTGAACATTGGAGACAGATTGAGAGAAGCGCAAAATATTAATACTAGTTTATTAGTATTAGGTAGATGTCTAAAATCCATTCGCGAAGGACAATCAACAAGAATGAAAACGGACGCTATCGGACCGTTCAGAGAATCTAAATTAACTAGATTATTCCAACGAGCATTATCAGGGAAGGAGCATCTAGCTTTGATAGTTAATGTCAATCCTCTACCAAATCTCTATGTAGAAACTCAAAATGTTTTAAATTTCGCTGCTATTGCGAAAAATATTATTATAGAAAAAAAGATGCAAGTACAAAAGAAATTAAAATCGAGATTTTCACAAATAATTACACAGAATAAACAAAAAGTAATTGATTGGGATTCTGCAGAATTGGAAAGTGTAGACTGGCAGCATACAGATTGTGCAGAAGAGATAATTTCGGAATGTACTACTTCAGAAGAATATCTGGATCTGATGAACGAAAACGAAAAATTAAAAAAGGAAATTGCTGCTTTAAAAAATTCAGCTTTAATCCGAGATTTTCAAAGTCGACAAGAAATGGCTGACAAGTACATTGCGATGATAAACGCACTTGAAGTCGATTGGAAACAACGTATAAACGACGTGGAAACTCAACACGAAGATGCTCTTGAATGGGCTGTGAAACAAGTTGAAGAATTTTACAAAGGAAAGCTAAATAAATCGCATAGAGATAAAAGGAGCCGTTGCGAATATAATGATGAAGATAATGATCTTGATTTAACTCTTGAAGAATTAGGTGAAGAGAATGTACAACTGAGAGAAAAGAATGAAAGTTTGAAGAAGATGTTAACTGAACTAAAAGTAACAAATGAAACTTTAATTGTGGAAAAGAATAAAACTTGTTTTGAATTGGGATTGATAAGCGAGGATTTAAAAGTAGCGAAAGATCTTTTAGAAGCTGCTCAGAAAGATATTTCTTGTAATTTAGAAGGTAAAGCTTATATAGAGAAAATGGCATCACAATTGCTCACTAAAGACAACCAGATAAAGAAACTCAAAGAATTTCTCAATGAAGCAAAAGAAGAATATATTACTATTACAAATGATATAAAGAAAAAAGAACAATGTATTGATAAGCAAGCAGAGATTATAGTTAAAAATGAAGACAAAATTGAAGATTTAGAGTCACATCTTGAACAAGTCAACATTTGTTTAACAGAAAAAACCAGAATAGTTGAGCTTCTAGAAGAAAGATTAGAAAGCCAAAGTGAGAAATTATCCGATGCTGAGAATAAAACATTACAACTGCAAGAAGAAATTAATCAGTTAAAGGAGGAAAAATTAAAGTTATTTAAATCTTATTTAGAGCAATCGAAACCATCAGAGACATCTATTCAAGATGAATATCAAGAGATTATTGTAAAAGAAGAAATGATTATTGACGATGTATCAGATTTGGATAATATCACAGAAAATATTCAGGAAAAAACAAACGCAAAAGCATCTGTTAATAAAACTGAAAAAATTGATTCAAATGATACAAATTCTATAGAAAAAACATCTTCTAAAGTGCCACAAACTTTGCTATCCAATATTACATGTAGTAAGCCTATACGAACATTTGTGGAAACAGATTGTCAGACAGATATAACAAACTGGAAGAGCTCCGATATTGAAGATAAGGTGGAAAAAGACACTCAGACTACTGCAACAATAATAACAATGGAAGATATTCAAACTAATTGTAACAAAGTACCTTTGTTAATAGAAGAAGCAGTCCAGACTGTCGAAATTGTGGATGATAATGCAAAATTGCAATTGAAAGAATTGAGTATACAGTACAATGACATTAAAGCACAATACGAACAGGAATGTTTAAAAGTAAAAAAACTGACCGACGATCTATACGATATAAAGAAGACAGTGCAGTTTTTAAAAGAAGAAGATTACTCAAATAAAGCTATTATAGATAAATATATACATTCCAAGGAAGTGCTTGAAAAACAATTGTTACTTGCTACAGAAGAAAAACAGACAGTAGAAGAAACCTTGCTGAGGTCTAACAAGGCTTTAGAACAAAAGATTATAGATTACAAACATGAAATTGATAAATTGGAAAAGAATCTTTCAGCTGCAAAAAATAATGTTCAAGAATATTTGGAGAAACTGGAAGCAACTCGGAAAGAATTTGATAACTATATATTAAAATGTAAACAGAAAAAAGAGATAAACGTTTGTAAACAAAACGAAACTGTTTCAGTAAAAGAAGACAATGATATAGATAAAGTAAATTTAAAACAATTAGATAAACATGCAGAGAACGTATTGCAATTGGAAAAAAATCTAGAAACTATAGTCAAGTTAAAGGATGAGATTGTTCAGTTAAATAATAACTTGGAAATGTGTCAAAAGGAGAAAGAATGTACACAAAAGGCACTGGATGAGAATAATAAGACACTATTGGAATTGGAAAATCGATTGGAGGATATAACTCTCAAGGAACAAGAAAAAGATACAGAGATCATAACTTTACAAAAGGAATTGAAGCACATGATACAAAGAAATGAAAATACCGAGATGATGGAAGTGGAGTTGAAAGGCACTATAAACGAATTAACCCAAATGAAAGAAACGCTTTTACAAAAAGACCAATATGTCAAGGAATTAAATATCCGTTTAGAGAATTCTGAGAGAAATGCAAAAATATTTAATTTACTTGAGGACAATGCCAAAGAACGGCAAGTAGAGAATGAACGGTTGCGAAATATAAACGACGAACTAAGAAATAATTTAGCGCAAAAGGACTGCGAGATGGATGCTTTCATGAAAAACAGAGACGAGACAGTGATCAAATATGAAATCTTGGTGAAGAACCAGCAGGAGGAATTGGAGAGGCAGAAGAGGGAAGTGATGAGGTACCAGGAATTATTCCGCAGGCAATTGACACCTACGCCGAATAAAGATGATTATAAGAAATTGCAAAATCGTATAGAGGTTCTGCAAGATAAACTAAGAAAGTATGAAACTCCTCCTGTTAATGCGAAAGCGAAGGGTGACGACGATACTACATCGGAGGATGAGGTCCCCATTCAACGTCAACCCAAACGACGAGGGAGGAAAGTCGTTAAACAGGAGGATATCCCGGTTATCGAATTATCTGGCTCTGAATCGAAACGCAGCACGAGGCGCACCGCTTTGCCGCCTCCGGAAATGTCAGTCGAGAGGACACGCTCTCGTAAGAAGAAATTATTCCACGAGAATGAATCGTTCACAGACATCGAACCTTGTACTCCATTACCGACCACTCGAAATTTGAGAAATCGGAAAAAATGAATGAAACATAGAGAATAAATTGCATTGTAAATATGTCATGTATATGGGAAGACATGCTGGAGAATAACAAGAACGGGAAAATAAAAGAGATGAAATACACGAGCATATAGTACAGAGCGCCGTTCTCTTTTTTTCTGTGATATTCAATAATCAAATAAGTATCATACATATATTGTGTAAAAGAGAGAGAGAGAGTGTCATACATATATATAAGAGATTATTCTTTTTTATCATAACTATTAATAACCTGTTTTTTATTTTTTTAATCTCATTGTGTATTGTATTTATCATATATAGGCCTAGTTTATACTGATATACTTTAATACGTACTAAATATTACATTGGCCAATCATAGTCATTCCTTTAAAGAATGGAACATCTGTAATTGGATAGTATAGTATTTAGTATGTATTAAAGTATATCGGTGTAAACTAGGACATAAACGCGTACGTAGTATTAAAATATTTTATATACCAACAATAAAAAGATAGTTTCATATGTTTTACATTCTCGTTTTAAAAGATGTCAAGATAAGTATATGTTTTATGATATTTATCATTACAAGAAAATCTCATTACATATTATATATCGCTTCTTGCGTACAAATTAAAAAATTGATTAAATATCAAGATATCATATCAATTATCATGTATGTACATACATACAAATTTTACAATTACAAACTTTGCTCTTTTATATTTTTCTCTTAGAATATAAATAGAATAATAAATTTCTAATCCCATTACAAATATGATAAATTTTTAAGTGTACTTAAACTTAATTAGATCGATTACAAGCCAAATGGCAAAAAAAGAAAAAAAATTGAAGACGTGCCTAAAATAAAATTTTTGCTCATGTGAAAAAACGATCAGAATTTAAATTTTAATAAACTATAACAATATGAATGTGTATGTGTATATTTTTATAAATATTCGAATAAATTTTGTAAAAAAATGAAAAAAATGTTTTACTATTAATCAGGGTTGGGAAGTAACGCGTTAAGGCTGATTTATGCAGGCCGTAACTGTTAATTTATGCCGGAACCGTTAAAGTTTAACACTAGGATTACAATGCTTTTGTTCATAATGGCATTATGAACAAAAGCATTGTAATCCTAGTGTTAAACTTTAACGGTTCCGGCATAAATTAACAGTTACGACCTGCATAAATCAGCCTTAACGCGTTACTTTTTAAAATCAGTAACGAGTAACGATAACGAGTTATTTTTTACAAAAAATAACGGTAACGGGTTACTTTTATAGAGTAACGTTCCCAACCCTGCTATTAATCTTATCCATTCTTCTTCACTTTCAGAAAATTTTTTGTCGTGCGATATGAGGAGTGAAGTTTTCTTTTTTTCTTTTTGAAATTCGCGCAAAATAGTATATACCTATGGAAATGCGCCCTCGTGATTGCAAACGCGAAACTAGCGGGTCGATTTTTCCGTACATCGACCAACATCCAACATCAACAGATATCGAATATCGGTGGACATCAGCCAGCGGTGCTGTCAACGATCTCAGCTGACGAGAACGAAAGGATAACATCGAACATGGTAATTCGCTTTTAAACACATCTACCGACAAAATGTGCGTGTTCGTAATATATCATAATGTATGTGCATTTTTTTTTAGTCGTTTGGCGAAAAAATAGCATCGATTATGCAGAGGCCTGGACAGGACCCTGTTGCCAAGGATGATGCCCCTTGGTGGATGAAGTACGCTGGTCGTGGACTCGGTACCGTAGGCAGTATAAGTGAGTTCATTATAACATATGTAATGTGTGATATTCCATTTTACATTATTTATCCTTTCTCTTCCCCTTCTTTTCTTTATGCGTTGCGTTTAACAATTTCATATTGTATGTGTATGTTGCGTGCATACGAGAGATATTGTTTAAATATTCGATATAAATATCTTGAAATAAATATCTTTCATGCTTAGCTTAGTTTATCTTAGAGAAATGTTTTTTTTTTTTTTAATTTATATATATGATTATATCGGCTTAAACAACATTATAGATGTAGAAATTGATTTTTCAGGCTGCCAATTGTTGAAGCATAACTTGTAGAAAATGGTCTTATTTATTTACAGTTGCAATCTTTCTCGGAGCTTGGAATTGCGCATCGATACTCTTTGGTCAGATCGACTGCTTAATTGGCGGTATGTTGCAAATGATAGCCGGTTTCCTAGTTGTAATGATTGAAGCGCCCTGCTGCTGCTTGTTCATCGATTTTGTACAGAATTTAAGTGACTGGGTGGAGAAGAAACCATATTGGAATAGAGCAGCTGGTTATTGTTTGTAAGTATTCTCTCCTCTCTTTATCTTATTTATTTCCTAGAATTTATTAAATACTATGAGATTTTTATATAATGTTATATATATATGAGTTGAACTATATCCTTGTTTCATGTTCATTGATCTAGAATAGCATTGCCAGCAGTCTTCCTATGTCCAGGAATGGGTAGTATATTTGGCAGCGGTTTGATATTTATAACGGGTATAATATATGGAATGATGTCCCTGGGTAAAAAGTAAGTGATATATAATTTTTCCATAAACCTGATAGCGGTATGATTTATAGAATATCTGAACGAGAATTTTATATCGATATAAAAAAGAAAGATATACAAGTCAATCAGTCAATCATTATTAATTGTACCATCAGGAATGACCAAATTGACATTAATTGATACCATCAATATTATCACCTCATAATGAGGCTTTATATGTATATTGTAAAAGCTATGTTATCGTGCCAAACTAATTTTATAGATGCAAAAAATTGTTAATGTGGCTATAAATTGTAAGAAACATTTACATTGATTTATTTTCTTCTGAGGTTGTAATCCAAAATGGCTGATGGCATTGCAATAAAATTTCTTAAAAGTATCAAATTTTTAGAGTTTAGAGAAATAGATGTGAATTTATCTATTTATTTCATCTATTTCTCTTATCTATCAACGGGATATTTGTCGTACAGTTTGGCATTGATTATGTGTTACATTTATAAAACTGGATAACGTGTAATGTGATTATGGTTTTTAATGCACACAGTGTTTCTTTTTTTTTATTTTTTGCTTGTGGAAAGGTGGAAGAACCGATTTTTGTGTTGTGTTTGTCTTCATTTTAACGCTTTGCTTTGGTTTGTGTGGGGAAAAATATACTTTACAAGATTATTTTACAAAGAATTCTTTTTTTATGAAATAAACTGTCAAAATATTTGAACTTTGTCTCGAAGCTTTGACAAGACAAGGCTTGATTCTAATTTTAATCGTCGTGAACAAAGTTACCTTTTATGAACATTAATAATAAAATACTAATTCGTAACCTGATAACACAGAGGGTCCAGGCCCGACCCAGCA